CGGAAGACAACCTTCTGCAAGAGCATAAACAAGGGAATATCCCGAATGCTCTTGAAAGGAAACTTCTGAAGAGCTGACAACACCAAAGCCAAGTTCCACGACAGCATTAGGGAGCGCACGGAGGGGCACCACATGACCAACCCCCTGGATAAATGTGCGAACCAAAAAATGCATGGCCAAGGGACACTAAAAGAAATCAGCAAGAGCAGAGACGTGGTCCTGGCTAATACTCAAAGCAATCTGCTAATCAATGCCTTTAACATAGTCAGAATCATCAAGCAAGACAACCCTATGTCCTTCAGAATCTGGCTTGCAAAAGCCATGCAGGCAAGCCAATGTGAAAGCAAGGTGGAAGACAGACCCCTGAGACAGAAGAAGACAGAATGGGAACGACCCATTTTCCTCAGAATTTCAGAGAGAAATGCACTGTAACCAGCATGTACAACATTTGCTGCCTTCCTTCCTTAAATAAGGGCAATAATTGCCACCTGTTTTTCAAAGAATGAATGACCTCACTAATAGAACTCCACACTGCTATTATTTTGAGCATGCCCCTTTCAATTAGTGATTCAATTACACAGAATCAGCAGCATGCATGTCATGACTGTTGGGTCTGTTGGATTTCTATTACTCTACTACACCTGCTAGTAAATTATTTGCCATGTAGAAATATCATTTCTACCAAAAACAGTGATTGATCAGGTTAGTGATGTCTGACTGCTATTATTTTTTAACACAACTGTGTGTGTGTGTGTGTGTGTGTGTGTGTGTGTGTGTATATATATATATATATATTATATATAAAAATATATAAACAAAAAAAAAACCCTTTCTACTTCTACTAAATTGACACAAATCATAAAAATATGTATGTTTAAAAAATTTATTAAAAATCATCGGAACCTTAGCAGACCAAGAAGGGGGGAGGGGAAACGTAAACAAACAAATCATAACCCATAGGGGACATGATATAAGATGTGATCTGGGGATAGAGAATAACATTAACGAACTGATTGTGGTATTAAACGTCACTTTTCCATGAATGAGTGAAAACCTGACATATAGGATGCTTCCAGTATAGAAAACATGTATTCATGGATAGTAATTATTTCTCATAGGAACTATACCAAGGAGTGCGTTTCCAAATCATCATTTAAATCCTTTGGGGATAAAGTACCTAATGTGAAAATCCAAAAGCTCTCACGTCAGCAGAGTTTTTGATGCCTCCTGCCATTGTCAAGATCTTTAGGTATGGCCTCTACATCAAAGACTCTTTTCTACAATGATTCCAATACAAATCACATTGCAAGCTATTTTGGTGCTCTATCCCTAATCTAAAGGTAAAACTTTATTATGGTCACTTTGTCACTTTTTTGTCTGTTCTGTATCTTGATCTGAATATTTTCTGAATAATACTGACTGAGCTATTATGTTCTGCTTTGGTACTGTTCTCCACCCAACAGTTTAGCTTCTAATTGTATTTAATTAATGATGATTGATTCTATAATACAATAGATTTGCAATGCATTATTTCGCGTACATTATTGTATCATCTTTTTAGATGGTTTTTATCTTACTACATTTGTGTTTTTATTCATACTATTTATGCGATTGTGATACGCTAGCCCCACCCCCCTTAATGTGTCTATCCCGCCCTTAAGGGTAGGCCCACAGATGGAACTGCTCTATATTAGAGGTGGGCTATCTCAGTCTGGTTAGCTCTGAGGAAGAAGGGACCCCTCTTCGAAACGTATCAGCTTGACCAAGAGATTATCTCCCTTTTTCATGGGATTTGCACGTGTCTCCTAACCCAGTGTTTCGCTGTTCCTTGTTACATGCCTTTTATATTGCTATTCTTGTGAGTATATTTCTTATCAATAAATGTATTAATTGCCTATTGAGGTAATGCGCAAGGTTAGTGCGCTCTGTTTTCTGTTCTTTACTACAGTTGTTATCGGGCTTCCCCAGCTTCGTGTTTGAGCCGCACAACCTTTGATCAGTGTTGGATGAACATTATACTTTCATTGTATTATCATATTGTTCGATTGGCCTTTCTCTGATCTGGGTCTCTGAGCGCAGGAGGTGTTGGATTTGTGTCTACTGGTCAGGAATATGCTTTATTCAGAATGACAAGTGATAATTTTGAAGCAACCAGTATTACTATAGGCAGAGTAAACGCAAAACAATTACCTGATTTTGACAGGCACCCTGATTTTGACTGGCTGTGAAGCCGTGCAGAGTCACAGCCGGATTCCCACAGTTAAAGTGGAGTTCCAGACGTTTTTGTGGTTATTAAAAGGCAGCAGCTACAAAAACTTAATAAACACACACTTACCTGTCCCAGAGTATAGCGAAGTTCTCACCCGTGCTGTCCTTTCTCCCCTTATATCCCTCACAGAGCCGGCATATCATCTGTGGGCATCAGGCTGTGACAGCTTCAAAGCCTGGTACCCACTGCGCATGCTTCCTAATTGGTCGTGCTGCGCTTCCTAATTGGTCCGGCAGTCTCCTGGGACCTGTAAATGTTCGCAGGAGACAGCGGGAGGGAGGAGGGGGGGCCGAACGTCTGGCTCCCTTCGCCACGGCGAACTGAGGTGGAAGTAGGAGTGGGTACCTGTCAAAACCAGGTACCCGCTCCCCTCTCCCACCCCCCAACAGGGGCCAAATATGGCAGCGGACGGGGCAAATAAGCAGAGATTCCACTTCTGAATGGAACTCCGCTTTAACATTCCAGCACCAGGTAGCTGAAGACCAGCTAAGAGGAACTGGCATGGGTGAGGACGGCGCTAGATCCCTGGAAAGGTAAGTGTCCGTTTTTTTAAAAGTCAGGAGCTACAGTATTTGTAGCTATTGACTTTTACTTTTTTTTTCCCAAAACAGGGTGAAGAACGTCTAAACCTTTTGTGCATTCTCCTTTCATGCTCTCAAATGTCCTAAACTCCTAGTTTCAGACAGGGAGAGAAGACAAAGTTACAGGCAGCAGTTCTAAAACAGTCAGTTACTGCGGTAAGATTTTGGGTAGTGCTATCGGGAGAAATTGTTTAATAGTCAGATGTCAGTCATGGACACATCAGTCATGCTTTGTGGGCATAGGTGGCCTTTCAATCTTGTTATGAAGTCTAGTTATAACTCCAGCCTGTCTTGTTCATATATTGTCACCAGTCTGTCACCTACGTATTCTGTGCTACAACATGACCTTAAAAGTCATCCTGCCAGTTCAATTCTTTCATTTCATTCTGACTGAATGCTGCACTCCCCCATCTCAGCCAGTTTACAGACTATGCTCTTGCTTGAGTGTATTATCTCCTCCCCACCTTAACCAAGAATAGTCGTTTTAAATGCCAAGTGGCCAAGGATATATTTATCCACTGTATCTGGAAATGTGTTCTCCCAACATTTGGTCAGAGGTTATGAAGTACATCTGTTCTACTTGCTTTTCTATGTATCTTGGATCACATGCTCTGTATTCTGGATACACTGGATCACACAAATCCAGGGTAAATGGAGAAAAAACGGTTAAGAAAAAACTCTATTTAATACTTAGACTGCATTTAAATCACCTAATGCCCATTACCTTGCTGAACGCCTTTAAAACAAGAGAAAAATAGGTTTGTTTTTCTCATGCAATTAATTTTACTTTGTAATTGCATCATTAATTATAGGTGCTTATATAGCACCCTCAATTTACGCAGCACTTTACACACACACAAATTGTACATTCACATCAGTCCCCTAACCCTCATGGGGCGTACAATCTGAACTCACATTCATACATACACATACTAGGGCCAATTTAGACAGGATCCAATTAACCTACCAGCATGTCTTTGGAGTGTGGGAAGAAACCAGAGTGCCCGGAGGAATCTCACACAGACACAGAGAGAACATACAATTCCAGGCAGGTGGTGCCGTGGTTGGGATTGAAACCAACGACCCTAGTACTGCCAGGTAGAAGTGCTAACCATTTAGCCACTGTGCTGCCCTATATCATTGTAATGTTATCATTATAAATTAATAAACCAGTTAGTTTTATGGTCAAAGGCTAAGTGGTTAAGTAAGCTAAGGGATTATGGCTAAAATTCAGGGTCAAGGTTTTTAGCAAAGCTGTGGTGAGGAAATGTTCTGCACACTGTTGAGATTTGAAAGGCAGCTGATAGAATTCAGCAAGACTCACTGAACCCTGCTTAACACTCACCAGGAATCAGGTCACAGACATAGAATTTATTCTTCTACCATAAAAGGAGGACCAGACATGAGTCTCTCCAGACAACAAATTTATAAAATAAGCCATTCTGTCTTAGCTTAAAAGGAAATGTCTTTGCTTCCCTTCATGTATGTAACAGATGCATACGTTGTAAAGCCTGGATGCTGTGGCATGAGTTGCATCACAAGTTGTATTCTCTGCAACAGGTGCTGAAGCCTGGAGCCTAACCAAATAGACAGGTATGCCCCAAAGTACCTGAATTATCTGTTCTTGTTTAGCTTCAACTCAATGAGATAGATGTTGCAGGTGGTCATACAAAAGGTAGATCCGGTCTTCACCTGGAACCTGCACAAGAATGTACGGGTTTCACTGAGTGATGTCCTCTAGAGAGGACCTCAAATCTGTCCTACAAGCAACATTTAACATGAGGGTAATTCACTAAAGGGTATAAGTACAAAGTAAGAGCATAGTCCACAAAGAAGCTATCGTCATGACAGATGGCTACCAGGCAGTCAAAACACAGTCATCAATGAAGTAAGATTGTGATAACAGAATCATTACACGCTTTATGCATTTTTTAAAAAGTCACGGATCACTGGGAATCAACTAAAGTTAACTACATTAAAGTCAGCAGTAAGGAAAACTATTTTAAAAGCAGAATAAAATGTTACATTACTATTACAAGTACATTTTCAGCAGTTATACAAAGTGCAGATCAGAACAACTTCAATAAAATAGAAAATGCCAGTGTCTTCCAACTGTACCAGTATCGAAAATGGACTCACCTGACCAATGCCCCCCGTAGAGGTGCCAGATCTGTCTGTACATGTGTTGCTAACTGGCTTAAAGACTGTTTCCCATCCACCTGTTGCATATCTCCAGCTCTGTGACTCCAGGATTAGAGTTCTCTGAGTGCCGAAAGCAATCATGAAACAGTAGACAACATGGTGTAATTGGCAACCATATCCACAGCCCTTGTTGATGTTACATACTAGTTTCTTGGCTTTACTGCAATCTTTAGGGTTCTGTAGTAAAATGAAAGAAAATAATTTTCAGATGCACTCACTTGTTATCAAGAATAATGCACTTACAGTGTATGTGAATGCAAATGACTTACAAACCACACAGTGCCACTAGGCACCATCAACATTTAGACCAGGGCTTACTAGCCAAGCCTTATAGTTACTCGCCACCAACAAACACGCACAAACAGAGACACCTGTACACACATAGACATGTACATACACACACACACACGCACAGAGACACATGTACACACACATAGACATGTACACACACACACAGAAATGTACACACACGCACAGAGACACATGTACACACACACACATACAGACACATGTATACACACACAGGCACGTACAGACACACATAAACACAGATACATGTACACACACACACACATACATACACAGAAACGTACACACACGCACAGACACACATGTACACACACACATACAGACACATGTACACACACACACACACACACACACACATACAGACACATGTATACACACACAGGCACGTACAGACACGCATACACACAGATACATGTACATACATACACAGACATACATGTACATACATGCAGACACATGTACAGATACACACATGTACATACACAGAGACACATGTACAATTGTACACGCATACACAGACACGCACAAACACACACACCAACAAAAAAACTACATGTCCAGGGACTAAATTGGGGTCCCAATCTACTTGTCCCTCATGATAATCTACTTGTCCTGATAAGAAAAGTAATTTTAACCAAAACCATATTTAAATTAGGTCTTCATTGATGTATCAGCAGAGGTGCTTTTAGGAATGTCTGGGACATTCTCTCTTTTTTCAGACTTTTTATTGTTTTTAACATTTCGCTGTTTATTACCTACCCACCTCCCTACCTGTCTCCAGCACCACACCCGAAAATTAACAGGGAGGGGGAGAGACCTTGCAGTGTGACGAGCACCGATTGGGTGCCTGTCAGAAAAGGGGAGTGTCTGGCTGAAGCACATCTGCTGAGCGAGTATAAAACTTTATTCCTTCAGTTTACGCTCATACACGGAAGCACTTGGGTGCTAAGTAAAAGCTCATGCTAAGCAGCCAAATTACGTTGTTTGCTCTGTTAAGGGGCAAAAAGCCCCCAGTAAACCCTGCAGCCTACCCACAGCAGGGCTAAATGTAAATGAAAAACCACCTGCCTGGCACCCGGAACTGCATGCCCTGATATGATTTGTGCAACCCTGCTGTGGAGATCCTCTGGGATGTAGAAGCTACCTGCCTGGGAGCCAGATCATTTACAGCAACATCAATATTTTCAGATCATAATACCAATAAGATAAAGCGATTGTAAAGGCTCCTATTTTTTCTTCATAAAATAATAAACATGTTATGCTTACCTGGTATTGCATAGAACAGTCCCAAACCTTTTCTTCTGGGGGTCCCCTGCCGACGCTCTAGTGTCTGCCACCATAGCAAGCTGCTTGTTATGGGGGCGCACAGGAATGCTTGTGCCCGGACAAGGCTTTATGCATCTATACACACAGCGCAGCTCAGCCTCACTGCTTTCTTACAGGATTTGACTGACAGCAGGAGGAGCCAATGGCTCCAGCTGCTGTCTCTGTGTCTTGTGAGGAGAGAGTGAGCAGCGGTGGATCAAAAGAGTAGTCAGGTAAAAATCTGCGATGGGGGGTGCTGAAGGGAGCTGATCATAGAAGGAGAATGCTTTAAGGTAAAAAATCTTATGCCTTTACAACCACTTAACTTTACAGGTCCAGCGCTATTTTTCTGTATATTGTTCCTTGGATCTGATGTACTACATGAGTGAGATGTTTGTACTACACGAGTGAGATGTTTTTACTGTAAAAAGTTGCTGCAACATTTATATACAACGATGTATATGATGCATTTTGTCAAAATATATATATTTTTTACATACTGAGTAAATAAAAATGTAATATTTTATGAATACTGGCATGCCTCAAAATTCCCATTCTACTACCCTTTTTGTATATTGATCTAGGGATGTAGCACTTCTCCTTTGCTTTATTATCTAGTTATTGTTCAAGAAAATAAAATAGGAGGTGCTGTATAAAAGTAGCTGATTTATTCGTACAGATAAACACTCACAAAATAGTAGTGGATAAATAGCTCATCTAATGTCGATCTCTCACTCCTTCCATCCTTGAAAATGATTTGGAGAACACCGACGGCTTATTGAGGATGGATGCAATAAGCATCGTGTCCTGAGACTTTTTTATAGAACACCATCAAACATCTACAGTAGGACTCAACGTATGCATAATAGAGTATACCAAAATCCCTACGTGGCAGAATGTTTTAAACATTTATGCCAACAGGAAACCCACTGGATATATTGACTTAACACGCTTACTCCTGGAGGGTTAAATTAAGAAATTGAAGCACACACCCTATTATAAATACTGACTCATCATTCACCATACAAACCAAACATGCTGTTACAATTCCTTTAAGTATTGAGATAAACATCCAAACTGATTGCTCTTACTCATAATGTTTTTTTTTTAAATATATTTTAACATAATCCCCCCCCCCCCTTTTTTTTTTACAGTGGACCCTTATGGTCTCATCCGTAATTGGATATCGATTTCATCATGTCACTTGGAGGTCTTTTACTATTGGTCTGACTACTATAGTAAATGCTGTAATACACACAGTTCATATGCCCATTTGCTCTTTGTAATAGTTGCTGATAACCTTTGTTTTTTCATCCTTTTATATGCCAATTTTAATTCCATGCCTTTTATTTCCAAATTATACTTTTATTGTATAATGTTCTTATAGGGTTCCTCCTGCGCTTCTATATGATGATCAATATGTGGATAAGCAGCCAACACTCTACCGTATACCTTTTAAGTGAATGTGCAAATAATAGTGTAGCGCTAAACTTTATGTTCATCTGCATGTTAACATATTAATTATTATTATGACATATTATGGTAATGTTTATTTCATTTAAATAATATTACATATTAAGGTCATACTTATTATGGATTAGCGCTACACTATTATTATTAATTGTATAATGTTGTGATTTATGATTAACTGCTGGTTATTGTAGTTCCACCAAACTGCGGTGCTCCATTCAGTATATATAGATCCTTTAGTAGTATGGTGATTAGGCCTGTAGAAGGAGCTAGAAGCTCTGAGAGTGTAGCCTGCTTCTCACTGGTAACCCCTTCCAATCTTGTGATCCTACCGATAACATCACGTCCTCCCCATGCGATCCACGCTGGTTAGCGTGGACTTCCTGGACTCCATGACATCCTGCTTATTACCACCAAGAGCACGGTTTGCAGTTCCCCATAGGAAGGAGCAAAAGACCGATGTTGGGACATCAGGTGAGCTATTTATCCACCACTATTTTGTGAGTGTTTTTAATCTGTACAAATAAATCAGCTACTTTTATACTGCATTTAGAAAGGAGAAGAGGAGGCGATGACCTAATTCTCACAGAGCTGGCTTTATGCTGCAGATGGCAGCTGCCAAGGCAACATAGTGCTGAACCTGTTTATGAACTTTCATGGACTCTGCATGATACTTGGTACTTAGTCCAGTACCATATACCCATGACATTTATACTCCTTTGCTGGATGTAAAAACCTCTACGCACCAGAATTCTTCTTATTCTTGTTCAATAAGTTTTTACTGAATTTCGATTAAGAAGATGGAAATTGACAAAAGTGAAAAACACAGTCCTCAGGCTTCCATTTACAAAATATGTTGACAAAGAATCTACACAAAATGTATGAAACTGTAGTAGTCGATGCAATAAAGTGGTCATATTGCTTTTAAAAAGTAAAAGGAAGGGGGGCAAAACGAGTGCTGAAAATGTAAATTTTTTCTATTTTCATTTAGAGTAAGAGAGCATCAAAGAATACAGACAGAAGGGCAGCGAGAGGAAGGGGGAAAATGGGGGAATATAAACAGCAGTGGGCAAGAGATGAGTTAATGAGGGGTGAAGGGAGCCAAATGGGGAGGAACTGAGCCATTTATGTATCCAAGTGTGTCGCACAAAGTAACATTTAGAGGTCTATTTACCTGTAGTCAAAATTGGGTGGAAGGTATTCAGATATCCAAAATTTGGTCACATTGCCAAGGAGTGCAGCAGTAAGTTTTTGCATAGAGCAGAGTCCAGTGTACTCATGATTTGACCTCTGGAATGGATGGATGGATGCCTCATGAACCAGGCTTTAGCAATCACTTGTTACATGGCTGCAAGGATGTGGGTCATTACATTGAAATGAAATTTCAAAAAGCCCTCAGGTTTACGATTGAGAAGAGCCTCCAGTGGACAGAATGGTACCACTCGACAAAAGAGGGTGCTCAACATATTGGCCTTTAGTTATTTTTTTAGGATCTTGTTATCTAATAACTTATATTTGTGATATTATTTGGCATTAATAGCTGAATTGCAAAGAAAAATGTTCTTTGGTGTGTTTACAAGTTTGATTTCAAGGTTCGTGGGTTAATCTCTAGTTTTTGCCTTGGAAGGAGATGGAAAAAGTAAGCTAGAGATCAATACCATGCAGGTATGACTCTGGAGAGAAAGTCACAGAGCAAGAAAAACAAGGTGACAGTGGGAGAACAAACCACAGTGTGAGGGAGTAAAACACTGAAGATAGGGATGGGAGAGAAGGAGTCACACAGGAGGAAAATCTATATCTAGAGAACTAGAAAAAAAGAAAAAATTGGGAGAGAAGGAGGTATTCTATGTGGGAGAGAGTAGAACACAGATTGTGAGAAAAGGAGGGAAAGAATGGCCATCGGGAGCAGAACCAAGTTTAAAATTTAAGCCAAACATTGGCAAGTGGAGATTGTGAAGGAAAGAAGAGTGGTAAATGGAGCATGTATCATTATATGGTAATTGTTGGAGAATTCAACTAATTCAAGTCGCTGCAAGTAACAAGCTTTAATTTTTTATGTAAAAAAACTATTAAGTCTCTGGACTTATATGGAAGCTCAT